CAACCTTCCTCAAGGGATTTCGTAGGGGCCTTCGGCGATTTTTCCCCCCTTTAGCGAAATCCATAATGGGGGCTGTCCATATAATACGTAACGCAGTTTTTCCGATTTTTTTACCCCCATCCCCCCTCCGTAACGCATCGTAACGCAAGCTCGAACCATCCCCCCCTCAAAAAAAATAAATAAATACGTAGCACAAGCCTCGCCCCTCCCCCCTATTTTGGTCAGTTTTTTAAATTAACAAGGAAAAAAAAGGTCTTACGGCAAAAAAAGAGTAAAACCTTACCATGCACCCAAGTTACCTGTGAGCGAGTATTTTCGAAACTAAAACTTATTAAAACGCGGATTCGATCGCAAATTGGGCAAGAACTACTGACTTACTTGATGTTATTGTACGTAGAAAGAGATTTGACCAAATCTATTGATCNGGGCAGCCCCAATGACTTTTTTCTAATTCTAGTTTAATTAACACAATAATTTTCAAGGTGTCAGTTTTTGTCAATTTTTTGTTTGTATTTTTATTTTCATTTTTATTTTTATTTCGATGGCTAAATTCTGAAAACACGTATCTCGGAATCCGCATCATTAACTCATGAACCTTGAGACTCATAGGGATACGCGCAAAACATGAGCATCCTTACGAGTCTCAGGGTTCATGATGCGGATTCCGAGTTACGTGTTTTCAGAATTTAACCATCGATTTATTCATTCATTACGCGTCATTTAACTAGTAAACGGCACTGATTTTTCTATGAGCAGAGCGAAGAAAGGATCCAATAAAACGTTCAAAAAAAATTAAGACAGTTGTCAATTTTGGCGGCTAAAAAGTACATTTAAAAAAAACAAACGAACAAAAAAATCCGAACTGTGTTTTTCAGAATGTGTTCTTTTTAGACTGTCACTATTACCATTCTACTTAATTCTATGTATCTTCTGTATACTAATTTAGCTTTGGCACAATTTTTCGTTGGAAGAGGAAAATAAAAGCTGAATTCCAAATATACAACGGATTCTCATTTTTTCATCCAGTTTAAGAAAATATACTAAGTTTTGCATTTCTGGTCTCTTTTTGGATAATGTTTCAAAAATAATATTAAAGAATAGGGTCTAAAATAGCGTAAAATGCATTCTAAAAGGGCCTAATTTTCAAAATTTTCCGGGGGAGGGCCCCCGGACCCCCCTTCTACTGGGGGGTCCCAGTAGAAGGGGGGCCCCCAGACCCCCCGAGGGGCCCGCCCCATACTTAATTTAGGGCCAGTCCGCCCCTGAATATGTGAATAAAATGAGGATACGTACTTATATTGTCCAATGTAGGCATCCGCCAACGTTCCTCCACAGATTGGAAATATGTAGCATAAAAAGTTAAAAATGTGGAAGATGATGGTTGCCTCCCGTTCCGCATAGAGTAATACATTTCGCATATAAAGTGCCAAAATCGCTGAAATTAGAGAAATATTTTTCATAAAATAAATTCTTCCTAAAAATGAATGTCCTATATAGGGCACAATTTGAGGGGTTCCATTAAATCTTAATTTGGCATACAACATTTGGAAAAACAAATTGGCAGTAATGGTTACATTACTTATACGTGCATAAAATTCCTACTGCGCACTTCAGCGATCTTTAACACCGTATTGCCACATACCTATATGTCCAAAAGTCATTTGGCAAGTGACATCATTGAATCTCCTTGTCGTGCTGCAAACCTTTCAGAGGAGTGCCCTTTGCCCTCCTGCGGCCCGATTATTGATCATTATATCGCAATTCGATGTCTTACTATGGGCTTCTTTAAACTTTCAACAATCGCAGGTAAGATGAGAAACACAATTCAAAACTCCATCGTACATAGTTTCTCTTCCCACATTCTCTGTATGCTTTTGTGTCCATATCACACCATGCACTTAAAAATGATATGTTGAACGAAATTCTTTGCAACTCTTGCCATCTCCCAGATCCTTCCTTCATAACACAGTACCTTACAGATGCGCTGGCAAACCTCCACCAAAAATCCACAATAATTTTCACGATTAATTTTTCGCTTGTTTTCCTTTTTTGGAAAGGAATCTTGAAATCTTACTGTATCTCGTTACTCTTTGCGTTTCAACTGAATAAATATACAATTTGGATTAATTTTCTGGCTTGATAGATAGCGTTTTTTTTATATCTCTGGCCTAGGAGCACATGCATGAGATCTGTGACAGCAGAGATGTTCAACCTGATGTCCTCAAACTGTTTTAGTATCATTCGATTGCTATAGCATTTTGCACTTTGGTTGGGTTTTTTTACCGCCCTTGTTAATTAGTTGATACTTCACTTACCCCGCATTCCGTAGTAAGAGTAGCGCTCACAAAACTCATTGCCGATTATGAAAAACGTAGATTTCGGATATTTCAATGGCTGAAAAAGAAAGAAAAAATGCAGTCTGAATGAATATTGCAATTTTAGAAATATTATGAAACTCAAGCCATGTTGCAATAAAAGCGGTGGATCTCCCAACCCACGTATCTCGTTTGCGGTGTTAAAAATCTTCACTCCTGGTTTATTTTGTTCAAAAAAAAAAAATCATTCCTTGAAGTTTCCTCAGAATTTTCTTCGCACAGAGAAAAAAAAGTCAAAGAAGTTTTTAGAATTGACGCTGAGTGGTTCTTCATTTAAAAAATAAAGTACGATAGGAAGTCCGCAACATCTCAAACCGAAGGATACGCGATTTAGGAATTTAATTATTGATATCCTCAATTTATTCATCGAACGCGCATTTAATGTGAACTTTCTAAAATTCTAAATTATAAATTTTGAGCGTTGTATCTGAATGACAATGAGTCAAGTTTTAATATGCGGCAGGAAAATTTTCAGCGAAATAATCTACAATGGACCACTAGACAAGGTACGAATTTAAGCGATCTGATACATGTTTCTTAACCAGAATTTCATGTAGAACACGATTCACACAACGAAAATTACTGAAACCAACTCCTAACGAAGATATTAACGTTTTTATTTCACATTGGTTACGAGGAATTTGAACTGCCCGCTCACAAGAAACTCAAAGCTCTACGTTAGTCAAATCGCGCACTACAACGGTTTCAGCAAGCTTCTCAATCGAGCAATGTTCATTTCCCACCATGTATTGTTCAAACTATCAGCAATGTGCTATAGCTGAGCCAAAGCGTCAAGATTGAGGTTGCCAGATTTTTATATCGCAGAGACTCTCATGATATAACGTTTAGCGCACGATGTGAATTACGTAGAGCATTGAGTTTTCATGAGCGGGTGGCTTGAATTCACGCATCAAGAATCATTAAATATCTTCGTAAGGAGTTGATTTCGGTAATTTTCGTTGTGCGCATCGTGTTCTACGTTAAATTTTGGTGTAGAAACATGTATCAGAATGCTGAAATTCGTACCTTGTCTAGTGGTCCATTCGGCACCTCAATTCAGTTAGACTGTCCGAAACCCGAATAAAACACTAAAATATAAAACTTCGTGGAGATTAAAATGTAATCATCATTAACTACCTTAGCAGCGATTTGAGACTGAGCACCAGTGGCAACCATATTAGAAAATTCTGAAATACCAGCACCAGGTAAGGTACATGTAGACAAATCAAACAAGAGTTTTCATTTGAAAAATAGAACGACTGATTACTGAACAAAACATGAACTGGAAAAGCAGATATTAGTAATGAAAAAATGATGACTTTAATTCCAAGACTAACTAGTGCTTAATCATTAAAATTTTTATTCAACATGGCGAAATAAGACATAATTTAAAGACATCGCAACACCGATGTGTCCACTTTTCATTCGTTTGGCGGCAAAAGGAAACTAATTTTCCGGTTGAAAGAAAGTCGCGCCGAACACTGTTTACTGACTCACTCAATAATTAATTTCGAAACGTAATTTTGCCAGGGCTTAAACTTGTATTCACTTCTCTGCCGGCCACCTTAAAATTGTTGACACCATATGTAACTTTTCTGACCAGGAAAAGGGAAAAATCCTTTGATTGTGCTTATCTAGCAATGTTGTGGTATTATCGTGACCGCCTGCACCGCACTCAAATGAACAACGTAAGTATATGTTTAAATCTGAATTGCACACTCAAGAGCCTGTCAACGTCAGAAAAAGCATATGACTATGTAAATTTTCATTAATCCGAGATTAAATCGTCTCTGTCAAATAATGAAGTGGGAAAATCTGTGCACGCACCGAATAAGCTGCTATCTATGATCGAAAAAGTAGCAAAGTCGCAAAACCCCTTTATTTTTGTTAAAGTACCTAATTTCGAAACATTTTCGGGGGAGGACTCCTCGACCTCCCTCTTCTTCCAGGAAAATCCCTAAGAACCCCCCTCCCCCCTTACAGGAGCTAGATTCATGATTGCCGCCTAACTTTTGGGATGTCAGTCCGCTCCTGCTATACTAACAATAAGTGTTCAATGGTATAAAGTTTCTACACTCATTTGCTCACATGGAGCTGGCAACATCGAGTTGAATCACCACTACAGATAAAGTTCATGTGACGGTGTAGTGGGTCAATGCTCACCGGATTCATGTCTTAACACAGTCGTTTGCGTTCAAGATTGAGGATTGAGACCTCTCTTACAATGGCTATTATTATCATATCTTTAGAAATAGTTATCACTGTAGATAATTGTGTCCAACTTGAGTGATAACAGAACTTTCAGACTCTTTTATCCTCCTCTCACTTCAGTATAACATTCATATCTTGCCGAGGCATGGACACTTAATTGAAAACTTGAAACATCGCAAGCTAGAAAGAAGTGCGCTGCCGAAAAAGATGAGGGCGTAATGTGGTCTAATGTTAATCAACTCTATTTTACCTTTCATGATAACATTTAGATCATGAGCTCACCGACACTCAAATCATGTTTGGTCACGGTTCGCCAAAACAATATGATCCAGTCGAACCTTCTATTTGAAACTAGACGTTATGCTAAAGTGTTGCGGTGCTTCTTTGCTTCCCCGCTGCGTGAAATTGTCAAGCTATGTCGATAAACCTAAAGTTCTTTTAGCGCGATGTGATTACTTGGAATCAGCAGTTGAATTATTAAGACAACAGTGAGCATTTTCTTTTCAAACATTATCATCAGTATTATATTTCAATCATTGATACATGTGACGTAGCAGGAAAAATGTGCTTTCAGATGAAAGAAAATCGAGATAAGTATACCACAGCCGAAAGGGGTTAATTTTACATCATTTGGCAGACGGAACACCCGAAAATTCTAAAAATTGATCCTTTGACAGCAATCCCAAACTCGAGGATTAAAAAGGGGGGATTCGCAACGATATATTGGATAGTAGCCAATGTGTGCCAATGTGCCCTAAATGTAGCGGTCGTTCAAAAAGCGGGCGGGGGGTGGATCTATTCTCGTCCTGGCCTTGATTAAGGGAACCTTACAATTAGAGAAATTTTCATCATACATGATGACGTTGAAATTCTTATCGTAAACTCACTCGATAGATGCCTAGGTTTTAAATCTGTTAAATTTTTAAATCAAATAGTTTGTTCTGAATTTGAAAAAGTGCGGGAACAGGAACAGTCTCTTGAAAAACGATTACCTGTGTCCTAAAAAAACAAACCTATCTTTTACCTGGAGTGAGGCTTAAAACTCACCGTTAGCCTGTCTGTAGTTTCCATATTGTTTGAAATTCGAGATAACGGTCTTTAAAGTTTGCCAGCGTTGACGCCAGAGTTGGGAACGACTCACTTTAAAAGCTTACAATATCAATAAAAATGCAATTTATGATTTGAAACTTTGACTCCACGTTCTTGATGGTATTAGAAAGCGTTCAGAACTGAGAACTGAAAACTGAAAAACACTTTTTTTTTTTTTTTTTTTACTCCACACTGGTTTTCCGCTGTAATTTAAGTTTTCACCTTGAAGCAAATTTTATCCTGCTACGTCTTATATTTTTATGTATTGCTGATCGAGTAAAATTGCCTCGATAACCATTTCTTCATTGATGCTACTGTTTTTTAGTTTTGATGTGGAGTGCTGGGACAACGTGAACAATGGAGACGATTCTAAGGAAAAACTTGTCGAGCTTATCCGAGGAAAATTTGGTGTGGTCATCGACTCACAACAAAAAATCGACCTCGATATCATCGCTGCTGGAGGTGAGACTTTCAAAGATGATGTGAACGTTCAAGAAAATGCATACCAATTGAAGCTTTGATGATTAATAGTTTGTGGTCAACAGGCTCTTCCTTCTTACTCCAGACTTCCATACATTTTCCGTTTGCAGGGGTCGTAACCTTACCCTGGTAAAAATTGGCAGTAGAATCTGTGTTCCAAAATATCATAGACCTACAGCTGGCTTTAAGATTTCCAATAGCTTTTATAGCCGGCTACACAATTTCTTATATCCTTTTATAGTCGATGGCGACTAAGCAACAGCCAGGTAATAAAGGGTATGCTAAACGTTACTAACTACGGATGCTAGGACTTAGTGAGTTTTTGGACAACTGCTCTCTTTTTGGGCCGTAGTATCTTGATTTATTCTGCGAGAAAAGCTCCGTATTTTTGATGGATGCCTGCCATTCCTAATATATTAGAGCGCCTTCAGTTGCGTATGATACTGTGCAATACCTCTGGTGTGAAATAGTTGCTTCAAGCGCCGTGACACGCTGCGGCGCGGCAGGCGGGCAGCCAGCGCGAAATGCGCATTGGCGCCTACAAACCTAACGGGGATACTTCACGCGTTGCGCAATGCGTGAAGTATCCCTGTTAGGTTTGTAGGCGCCAGTGCGTCGCCGCACTGCTTTGTGTTAGGCTCTAATATTTAATCTGGAGGAGTCAGCGTTATTCAACTCATGATTTTGAAATGTTTGCACATCCTGTATGGATTATTCTCATTTTAATTGATGAAAAAAATATGTATCAAAGGAAAATATAATGTGTGTTTTGTAAATATTAACGTGGCTCCGTATCAAACTTAATGAATTTCAAAGCACACGAATCTCTACACAATATCTTATAGCCTACTATAATCGATGGCAAGAAAGCAACAGCCACGCGATAAAGTGTAAAGCCCGGCGATAGGAACTATAGCCCGGCTTCATAATTATTTATCTTTTCGTATAGCCCGGCCGTATGATTTTCTCCGCATTCTACAGCCAGCTATATGATTTTCTGTAGCCTTCTTTAGCCGGCTATAAGAATTCCTATGGTATTTTGAAACACAGCTCCTATCGCCAATTTTTACCAGAGTAGGCATAATCCCTTTAGTTTTCTAACCCAATACCCTCAATAATGAATTGAAGGACATAAAGCATGAACGTGTTAAGGTGATTGGATGGACGCCATATTTTGTGTCAGAACGGCATGCGATATATCGCATCAATTAGTTCTATTTTTTCAGCTACTCGTCATTTTTCTCCAATTTTGAGATCGCAATTCTGTTGTCAGGAGACCAAAGCACTCACTTACCAATTTTAACAAAGAAATTCAACGTAATAAAGGCGTGGTTTTCTCAGAGAGAAAACATCGCATTCGATACTGATATCGAAACTGCACTCGAATGCGATATTTTCTCTCTAAAAAAAACCACGCCTTTATTACGTTGAATTTCTTTGTTAAAATTGGTAAGTCAGTGCTTTAGTCTCCTGACAACAGAATTGCGATCTCAAAATTGGAGAAAAATGACGAGTAGCTGAAATAATGGAACCAATTGATGCGATATATCGCATGTCGTTCTGACACAAAATATGGCGTCCATCGAATCACCTTCAGTAAAATTCATTGAAAACTCTTGAGGTAGAGTAATTTTGACCAGAGCTGGCCGCAAAATATTATTTGCAAAGGATGGAAGGAGCTAAAAAAAATATAAGCAAATAGAACGCTCATATATGAAAAGGCATAGGGGCGGTGAGACTGCGAAACCACGTATCCTGATTTGCGACGTTGCAGACTTCCTTTCATACTTAGTTTTTAATGGAAAATTATTTTACGTCGACTCATTATAACGTCCAAGTTTTTCCCTCTCTGTGCGAAGAAAACTCTGTGGAGACTCCGAGGAATAATGTCGATTTGCTCCCCTTCAAAAAAATAAATTGAGAGAGGAGATTTTAAGACACCACAATCGAGATATGTGGTTAGAGAGCTTTTACCTTCGATATGGGAAAAGAATATAAGTGCATTTTTTGCGATTTTGAGTCATTTTATGATGTACAATTTTTCGAGCCGGCTTGCGTATGGTGGCTGCAATTGGTCAAACCTAACAAGAAAGTTACCAGTTTAAAAAATCTTAGTCATTCTTTTGGGGGCTGACAAAGAGATACCTCTAAAATTCTTTTTTCTTCTTTTTTGCAGTTAATTTGGCTTCTATTCATGTTTATTTAGTATCTCAGGAATCTACAGCCATCTATAGACATGAGTTTTAACATAGAGATTATTTTATTGTCAGTAGGCATCAGGGGGATTTTGGCACATTCATGCTCCGGCTTTCGAATTTTCAGGGATTAAGGTCGAGTGGAATCTATTTCTGCAGATCCACTCGTCAGTTCCGTGAAAATTTGTCGCCACCACAGGGTTTGAACCCGGGACCTATTAGTCTAGAGTCAGGTGCGCTGACCGCTTGACCACCTCGGCCGGCTGTAAAAAATTCTTCCTATTGCTTGTACCCTCTGATTTACAAGGTTGCCAGATTTTTTATTGCGATTAAATGTGGATATTACACAAGGGTAACAATGGGGGAAAATGCTGCTTTTCAAGCACCATCTCCGAGTATAATACTGATTTCATTGAGCATCGTAATTAATTGTACTACGCCATAGCATTGCTTTTAGTAATAGCTGCTCAATCTTCTGTGTCTGCCGAAAAAATTAGCTTTTTTGACCTGTGCCTTTTTCCTGCGGATAACTCCTATTGATAAAGAACGTTTTTCTTGCAGGTTCGACTCTGCGTGTAGTCAGCACAGTTTCTACGGGCGTGGATAATGTGGATCTTGAGGCTTTGAGAAGGCATCGCGTTCGGCTTGGTTCCGCCTCCGGTGTCAACTTAGAGGCAACCGCTGAACTCACCGTTGCATTATTATTAGTGACGTCACGGAGAATTGTTCAGGGCATAGACGCAGTTAAAAAGTGCGTATACACTATACATACACTGTTGCGTTAGATGCATTGGTGACACGAATTTATGGTACCGTGTCACTTTAGACGGACTGAAAACAACTAACGCTTTTAACGGTCTTTTTGTTGTGGGAGAGCAAATGGTTAAAGTTAATTTCTAGGGGAACAGTTTTGGAAGAACAACACTTAGATCCTGCTGATTGAAGAAGACACGCACTTTATTCACCATACCGGATCACAAGAGTTGGAAATTCTGCACTTAGATAAAATATCATAGGATGACTTGCGAGAACTTATAAGAGGACATGTAGTCATAGCTAAGGTAGTCAACGCAAAGTCAGTCTTGTAGCTTACATCGCAGGGCACGTAGGGCCAGAGAATAAGCAAGTTTTAGGCTGTGTTGCATCACCCATCCGATGCACAGATAAAAAAGATATTAAAGAAATGTGCTGGTGCGTTTGATTGTATGTATGCAAGCATCGGCTTAAGGTCTTAAAATGCTTGTCATGAGAAACAAAAAGAGAGACAGAAAAAATTAGGGAGAAAAAGACGGAGAAAAATCTATCGCGAATACAGAAGAGCGAATACAGAAGAGAGCGTTTCGTAACACGTGACATACACCTAGCGCCGAAATTTTAAGTAGAACAACTTACAGTGTGTCGCGATCATACAAGGTAATCTAAAAGTCTCGCACCACCCCTTCTTAACCCCTAGGATTCTTGTCCCTTTTCAGGAGGATCCCCTTAATTTATTTTTTTTTTGGTTTTGGGGGGGGGGGTCCAAAAGCCGTTGCCTCTGACACAAGAGCACTCACAATCGTAATAACAAAATATTTTCCCAAAAATAATTTCAAATCTCGATTTCAGTTCGTTCAAAAGTTACAGGGCTGATGCATGGTCCTAACGGTGTGGGACTTTTGGATCACTCTGTATTGCAATATTTATTATGCATTAAAATAATGTTATTTTATCACTAACTCACAAAAATGAGTTCAAAGTTGCGTAATTTGAGCTCCCATTAAACCATCACCGAGAAAGCAACGGTAGTGTCCGAATATATTCTTCTTGTTGTGGCTATGACCTCGGTCGCTTGTCGCCTCTGCTGAAATGTGCAGACGTGCATTGATGACGGTTCAGCAAACCATGTATTGCGGCAGACGCAACGCGCAATCGGTATCGTGACCGCGACGGAAGGGATATTTCCGGACGCTATCTGGCTTTCTCAGCTATGTGCGTTTCAAAAGAGCTCAAAATCCGCAACGTTGAACTCGTTCCATTATCGTTCAAAAAAAAAAAAAAAAACACAGCAAAATTCTAAAGAGCTATGTGCATTTTCTCCTTTTTAAAGGGTGAAGCTATAAAAAATTACTATACGAGATTGCATAGGAGAGACAGAGAGAGGGAGCGAGATTGAGTCAAGAAGATGTGACTAGGTAACTCTCATTTTCTAGATTTTCCTGTTTTTCACTCGCCATGATAGTGCCGGTGGCGTATGTCTACCACTACTAAAATGGGGATTTTTTCACCAATTCTTCCTGTACATTATGAAATTGCTGTGGAAACTTAATGATGAAGTTCGTTTAATTTGATGACGAAATTAATTTAATTTTAATTTTTAAAATTAAAATTCCAATGCCTCAACTTGACCAGCATCATGTAGAAGCATATCATCCTAACTTGATTAATGCATTTCATATTAATTTATGTTTCCAACGCAGTGGTGGCTGGAGCTCGACATTAAATCATCCATGGTTGAACGGTCAAGGATTGCACGATTCCACCGTCGGTATTATAGGATATGGTCGAATCGGTCACTCTGTAGCCATGAAGCTGAAGAGCTTTCTGCCAAAACAGATCCTATACACAAGCAGAGCAGAAAAACCTACTGGTATTTGTTTTTATTTTTTTCGTTTCCACAAGATTCAACCGTCATTTCAACTTGATTAAATGCCTAAAACATGAGGCGATTAGTGTTAGGGCATTTTTTAAGGTAATTTCTAACGCCCACAGACCAAAGGAATAGTGTTTTGACTCGTTGAGTTTTAGTCATATATTCTTCCTCTTACGTCATTCTTTTATGCTTTTCTCCTAGTAGTTGGGGAGAGCTCACTCAACAACGATCAACAAACATGATAATTAATTTTTTTCATTAAAAGTACTTTTTACTTTTTTAATATGTTTTTTATTGCTTTGGGCTGTATATTTTAGTTTAGACGAGAGCCTACATTGTCATCTATGGTGCCAGTAATAAAACTTATGACACGCTCAATGACCCTGGTAAAAATTGGCAGTATTCCAAAATACCATAGACCTACAGCCGGCTGTAAGATTTCCAATAGCTTCTGTAGCCGGCTGTACAATTTCTTATAGCCTTTTATAGCCGATGGCGAGTAAGCAACAGCCAGACGATAAAGTTTCTGCTAAACGTTACTAAATACGGATACTAGGACTTAGTTAGTATTTGGACTACCGCTCTCTTTTTGTGCCGTAGTTTTTTTATTTATTTTGCGAGGAAAGCTCCGTACTTTTGAAGGATGCATGAAATAGTTGCTTCCGACACCGTGGCACGCAGCGGCGCGGCGGGCGGGCAGAGAACGCGGAACGCGCATTGGCGCCTACAAACCTAACAGGGATACTTCACGCATTGCGCAATGCGTGAAGTATCCCTGTCAGGTTTGTAGGCGCCAGGGCGTCGCCGCTTCGCTTTGTGTTAGGCTCTAATATTTAATCTCGCGGAGTCAGCGTTTTTCAACTCGTGATTTTGAAATGTTTGCACACTCTGTATGGATTATTCTCATTTTAATTGATGAAAAAATATGTTTTAAAGGAAAATATAATGTGTATTTCGTAAATATTAAGGTAGTTCCGTATTACACTTAATGATTCCCATAGCACACAAATTTCTACACAATTTCTTATGGCCTTTTATAGCCAATGGCGATAAAGTGTAAATCCCGGCGATAGGAACTGTAGCTCGACTGTATACTTTTTTATAGCTTCAAATAGCCCGGCTATATGATTTGCTCCGCTTTCTACAGCCATATGATTTTCAATAGCCTTCTTTGGTCGGCTATAAGAACTCCCATGGTATTTTGAAACGCAGCTCCTATCGCCAATTTTTACCAGGGGACTTTGTGTATTTTAATTTAAGGTCAAGTTAAGGGAATGGAACAGCAAACAAGGGAGTGGTGTTTCATGTTCAAAATGTTCTTATATTTTGCAAAAATGAACCTTGAATTTCCTTTCTTAAAAGGGGAAACCTTGTAAGAATAAAGAGACACCTTGTGAGATAAAGGCAAACTTTGTAAGGTTCTGGTTCCCATTAAATTACCACGTATCTGTCAAAGACACACCTACATCGTTTTATACGTCACAAGTTTCATCGTCCTCGTATTCAATCAAACGAATAAAACTCTTCCTGCCCAAGTTATTCTGATTGATTTTTCGCATGCTGCCTTCTATATCAGACTCAGAAAATTAGACAGTATATTGATTGCTGAACATCCTCTCTTCTGTAAGTGCTGCTAATTTCTTGAATTCTTCCTCTTCTTCGTCTCTTTATTCTTCATCATCTTCCTCTTCTTCTTTTTTTTATTCTTCCTCAACTTCTTTTTAAGGTGTTCAGAGTACAGCGACACCCTTAAAAACCTCACGATGAAAGGAACATGCTGAACAATACCTGCAGCTATAACGGTTGGATACAACCATTCCTGTTCTATAGATGTTATAGAGTTGCATACACATAAAAATTTAGGCGATCTGACAATGCTTGCTTCCACACCTCGGCATACCACCCTATGAAATCTGTGCAAGTTTTTTGAAGATATCTAGGAAATTATTTGATTTTCACAGGGGCTGAGATAGGTGCTGTGTTCACAGACCTCGATACTTTACTGCGATCTAGTGATTTTGTCGTCCTCACCATTGCCTTGACTCCAGAGACAGCAGGCATCATGAGTCGAAGTAAAATAGCTCTTATGAAGAAGAACGCTGTTTTTGTGAATACTGGAAGGGGTGGTTTGTAAAATTATTCCTTTCTCTCTACAGATCTTATAACTTCCACATTACATATTCACCATGTTGGGCCTAAAAGTTACAAAATCCGCAAGTATAAAATCTATGAACCATGCAAAAAGGCTAAGACATAAAAAAAATTAAAAAAATTAAAAACAATTGGTAGGTGCTGTTATTTGATTTGATTACTTTTTCAAGCTACAACATACTGCCTTATTTTGTGTGAGTTAGTTTTTAAATAAACAAAACACCAAATGCTCATTTATACAATAATCAAAACCACGATGGTAGAATGGTGTTATGCCCACGGTTTATAGTTTTCTTTGAGCGAGTCAAAGCCAAAAAAATCCTGAAATTATAATTATAGTCTCAACATGAACTCTAATGAGTTTCAGTGCAAGACTGAGGGGGGAAGTATTCAACTGCGGCAGATGTTTTATGTATTGGAATAATCAGCTGGAGTGACGCCGAGAGACCTATCCCGGTTATCGGTAATATTCGAATGCATGTTCCTGGGCTGACTACTCTCCCCCTCAGTTTTGCACTGAAACTCACGAAAGTTTACTTTTCACCTCTAATTCTAATTATTTGATTATTTTAGCTCTGATTTCTGAGCAGAATGGTGTGGACGTGTGGCCTTGTTCTACCATTCCGTTAGATCCAATATTCGGACCACATTTTAAGTGTTTCATTATCATTTATAATTATTAATTAATTTGTAGGCGCATTTTCAATTTTTTTTTCTTTGTTAATTTTTTCAGCACTTGTTGATCAAGACGCTCTAGTGGAGGCTCTTCAGCAAAAGAAAATTTTTGGTGCAGGTCTGGATGTCATGACTCCTGAACCGCTCCCTCTCGACCATCCTTTGCAAAGGCTTGAAAATTGTGGTCAGTAGGCTTATGCACACCACTATTTCTCAATTATCACCAGGAGACAAACAGAAGTGATCAAACCACAAATGAGTAGTACATGAACGTAATTATGCTAAACGGCACTATAAGCCCAAGTGAATTAAAGCAATAGGTACATTGTGCATAGGACTTGCGTGCCTCACAGTTCCTTTCCATGCCACTCTAACTGCCTGGACATGTCGATATTACTTTTCACCTACAATTTTTTTCTTCATTTTTTTTCATACGTGTAGAAATCTTTTGACCAAATCAAAATCAAATCAGCCTCAGCGATTGGATTCCACGAGGATTTGCGGCGTTAGGTGCTGTTTTCCTGTATAGAATTTTGCGAAGAATATGATGATCCTATTGGTTTTCTCTGGAACGAACACCGAAGCTCCAAAAAAGCTCTCAACATTAAGCATATACATAATGTAGGGAATGTAGGGTAATGTAATGTATGTGGGCATATAATGTACTGACTGGCTTAAGACTGGTGGGTATCATCGTGCTTTCGTGAAATTTTCCGAAAGGACACACATTAAAATAGGAAATCTATACGGCATACAAGAGTTTCATTAATCTGAAACCGAAGAAAAGGTTATTTATAATTTTAAAAAAATTAATATTTTACATTATTTCAAAAAGGTGGGGCCATGATTTAAGTTCATACCTTGAATGGGCTTGGAGTAAATGCAAATATCTCAACAAAGATGGCATATATTATCCAGTTACTTAGTTATGTTATAATATGTTTCAGTATTACTACCTCATATGGGATGGAGCTCATCCAAATCAAAAGAGGACATGTTTCACCTGGCAGCCAATAACGCCATAGCTGTTTTAAAAGGAGCTCCAATGCCTGCCGAGTATGTCTTGTAGCAACATGCACGACGGGACTCTTTTTGGCTACTACCATATGTATCTGCGTGTTTAGCTAATAATACTATGACATGATATGCAACGTATCACTGTCATAGTGGTATGATGTATATACCATTTAATATAGTTACCATCAAGTACCAACAGCCAAAAGTACACCCTGTCTGCGTTTCGATCACGATGCTCTGAAAGTGATTGCAATTTGCCTCGCCATTTCTGTTTTCCTTCTTATCAGCTCCTTGATGGTCTTAACTTGGTCAATTATTGTTCATCGTTCACATAAATTATGCCCTAAATATAGAGCGGCAAAAGTATTGTATTGTAAAAATCTCTTTGTGTAAAGTCATTTGACACACATCTTTTGTCATCATGTTTGACGATATTTTTTAGAAATCCGAATCCATAAAACTATAAAACGACTATCGGTGACTTACAAGTATTCAATGTCTTTATGTGTCGTGAGAGAAGTCACCTAGATTGTAAATTATCGCGTGAACCATGACATAAAATTAAAATGCAGTTAAAAATATTTTTTTATTCATTTGAATTGCGCTTTAAAGACAAAATATTTCATACACTCTCCTAACAGCCATCCAAGCAATATTGATGAGAGCGGCAATTTTTAGTTCTTTTCTTTCTTTCTTTGCGCTGATTTTTGGATATTTTTCTGTTTATGATCTGCAGCGATCAGTAGATATTTTTATACCTCTTAGATTTCAAAGGTGATGGACGCATTCGTACATGGGGCTTTTCAATTTTTTAGAAATTAAGGATGGAAGGAATCTGTTTCAACAAGCCCACTTGGCAGTTCTGTGAGATTGTTTTCCTCCACCGGGATTTTTAGACCCTTTCACTACAGGCCAACTAGCCAGCTCCGGCAAAAAATCATTGAATCACCACTCCTTTTTGGCCAGTGATGATTGGTGAGGGATGTATTGAGCGGTTTTTTTATTTCTTTTTTTCACAAAAAAAAACCTAAGAAGGTCGAAGGCTAATTCCGCCTTACGCCATTAGCAAAGTCATTATCGTCAGACCAGATCTTTTGTGCGAAACAAAAAGCTCAGGTCAAAAGCGTACATCGATCGCTTTAATGTGAAAAATAGTGTTTTAAAAAATTAACAATATTAAAGAAAAATCAAAACAACTTTTACAATATTAAAAGAGTATTCTTAAATTTTTTTTCACCTGTAATCAACGATCCTTTCTGCTTTGACTACAACAGCTGTATGAAATGAATCTATTCATCGTTAACCTGACTGTCTTCGATGATGGCTATAAGATTCCTTTCAGCAGGCAGGCACCAAGAAAAATTGAAAGTTTTCTTCCGCGTGAACAGGGATTCAGAAAAAAATTACAATCGAGAAAAGGCGACAAAATCTCTCGTTTCCTGAGAGTATAGTATTTTCTAATTTTATCGCCTTTCGGCGATACAAAAGACAGCACCTTTAATTATTATTCGAGTGAAGAGAGAAACGAACCACGCAATTTGGCCTGGAACGGCGCGGCGCAGAGAGCAATAATGACGAGGACTTGAGATGAAAAGGAGAAGCCGCGGCGGTCGGCATGTAACACATATTAGCGCCTACAAGACTCCATGAAAACTTCACGCAATGCGTCGAACACAGAGCGGTCAGCAACGGTTGGCGTGAAACGCACAGCGCCTACAAGACTGCACGAATACTTCACGCATTGCACCATGCACAGTCTTTGTGCACAGTGCGTTCAGCAGCGGTCGGCGTGAACCGTACAGCGCTTACAGGACTGTAGGAATACTTCACGCACGGCGCCAAACACAGTGCGCATGCGGCCAGCGCGGCGCGGCGGCGGAAGTTAAAATTATTAAACCACAATAATGTTTGTTTTTACATAATTTGTCCGCTCATTTCTTACAAATGGATGCTTGTCAACAGTTGACAAGGCCATCTTTAAGAAAGAGGACCTTAAGATAAACAGGTCTGGGAAAATCAAGCGCTGAAAGTGAAAATAAACCATGAAATGAGAAATTTTATCTGTTCATTACCTGATTTTTCAACTGTAACACAAGGTCTTTGGGGCAGATAGATAGACTCGCTGGCTTTTTGCTTGCGATTAGAATTAGTACCTATTCTGAGGATTCAGGAGAATACGTAGAGTTTCGTAACTCGCACTAGTTTTTAAAGTTTAATTGGCCATATCTTTGAAAAATTAAGTGAAAAAACGGTGTCATTGTATTTATTAAGGATCAATTTCCAAACTCATGCGGAAAGTTTACAGCTCAGATTATTATAGATGTACTTATTGGTGGCAGATGTCCTAGAATTGGTGGAGCCCTCCCTAATTTATCGTATTTTGTTGAGTCATTAGTATTGCCAAAATATATACAATAGAAAATGGCATCCATCAACTCTTAGTAATTCCACACGGTGAGAGGAAACTCTGTTCAGTGCTCAGCTTTCTCTCTGCAAAAATAATTTTATTGTAATTTACTTTAAAGGCGTCTTACTTTAGAGCATTTTTTGAGCCTCTGAATTACTTTCAGATAAAATCAGTTGCTCAATCATTTTCCAACTGCGACTTTCATGAGACTGAGGGATATTCCCCCTGGCCGCTTCGCGATTCGGCCCCATGAGGCGCTTTGCGCCTCAGACGTTACGCGTCGTTACGCGTTACGCGTTACGCGTTACTCTCACATCAGTGGCGTGGCGTGGCGTGAATTGCGATGTATCGATTGTTATGCCATTTAAACCTATGGTAAATAATCGACTATTAAGGTTTTCGCTGCGAACACCGTGTTTATCGATCCTTCTCCATAGGTTTAAATGGCATAAGAATCGATAAATCGCAATTCACGCCACGCCACTGATTATAGAATCAGATTTGTGGTTAGATTCTTACACACCTAGGAACTCTACTTCTTGCTCAAGCAATCATTTACTCGTAAAAAATAATTTTCATTGCATTGGTATTCCCCCCACAAAAAAGACAAATTGGGTACGTATGGAGTGAAGGAAGAGTGAAAATTGTTGAATGTCGCAATTCGTTGACTCGTGTTTCTCGAACAAATTTCGACTCTTCGAATTTTGACAAATCATTGCGTCTCGTCTGTTAATAATTTAATTAACCGTTGCCGACGTACATTACCTATCAATAAGTGATCAAATTACTTTTCCCGATTTCTTGAAGTATTTAATTGAACTCGGGTTTAAGTGCTAAACAAATGTAAACCAGTTGGAGCGAAAGTTCAAGTGTAGCGAAATGATCGTGCAAAAGCATTTAGTACCCCCCTCATCTCTCGATGTGGCTGTGATCAACGCTGTTGAAGATAGTATACAATACCGATAGAAGCGGCTTTCCGGTGAGCATACACGTGAATTTTAAGTGCGGTGTCTGGTGTCTCGACTTGTGATGTGGGTGGGTGTGTCTCTAAAAAGTATGACTTTTTGTTAAAATAACCAGAGGGTTTATAGAAATCGTCTTAGTATCAATCTTGGAGGGAAACTTAAGTGCATGAAGAAAGAATTGAAAGAACATCGTCAGAAGTAATCATTTTAAAAATACAAAAAAAATATCAGTCTCTTCATTGAAGGGTAGTAATTAGGATGCGAAAACTACAGTGTGTCCAAACGAACCCCTTTTGATTATTATTATTATTTTTTTTTTGGAGGTTTTAGTCTTTACTTTCAACTTCGAAATTAACTTTCATAGAGATTTAAAATTTGCCGAAACTAAAATTTTCTGGTGATCCTGCGAAGTCTTTATTAGTCAACAGTTGTGAATTCTCGTTAAATACTGGTGTGTAGCATCTTCAGACGAAATGACAGCAGAGGAGCATACGGTCAGATCCGCTCAGGTAGGCATCGCCAATCCATACCTATTTTCCACATTCTGTGACAAAAGAGTTTATGCATATTTGTGTCTAATATTGTAGATCACTCAGCAGCTAACCTTGACCTTCTCTAGCTTGATTATCTAGCAAATACTTTTATATTTTAATTAGGATTCAAAATTTGGAGCTTTTTTAAATCTTAGCTAGTATGGGCGGTTCATATAACGTTCAAATCAGCTGAAAATATAATGTGAATTTAAAGTGAACCTCATTAGAACCTGCCATGAGAGTTCCAATTTTTCTCCGGGAAAAATTACACTTACTGTTGGACTGAATAATTTTGAACTTTGTACTACCGTGACTTGTTTTGCCTGAAATTTCATCAACGTATTAGACGTTACATGCTAGGTTTGTTGAGCAAACAATGAAGAGTAATTCAAACGATAATATTCAATTATTATTTCACGATTAACTGAAAATATTTTGTTTATGTCACAGGAGACGTTTCCATATCCAAAATCAACATTTTTCATAAATAGTCATGCACTCTGTCAGCGTTATTCGTTCTACGGCGTCTGTTGTAAGTGAATCTGAACACGGTACCTATCATAAATTTGTACTGTTTTCATTTTACATTTGGTAATTTAAACTGAAATGTTAGTATATTCGTATCAGATTGGATCTAATTATAGTCTTATTTTCAAGAAACAATTTGGCTCTTAAAAAGCACATCTCGGGTTCCCTCTCAGTTACATGTTTCATCGGAAAAGCTCTGATAGATTTCTCGCAATTTTATCTTCGAAACAAACCTCTTAAATTAGCCACTTCAGGGAATTTAGATAACCACCTATTATTATTTGAACTTACAAACCTGATTTATTACTTTTCACTGTCAACAACAAAGATATTGTGCACAGTCTCATATTTTTCATCGCAACCTCTCAATGCATCCTGTCACAAAATCTCCCTTATAAAAAGTTATAACCTCTTGGAGAAAAGCTCGCAACACACACACAAATACTTCTTTGAAATTAAAAGTATTTAATTCTCTAAGAATGTAAGAAAACAATAACTTTATAAATCATTTGTGCTTTCAAAACGGTGCAACTTAAATTTTTGTCGTATCACAAGCTTGTAAGCATACCTTCAAAATGATTTCCTCTTAAATATTAATCCTCAGATGCCAATTAGCCGGGTCAATGTGACCCGAGGTTTCTTAAAAAAACACGCGTCTCGTAGATGTAGGTCAACAAGTACATCTTAAAAAAGAAGCAGACATCAAATTGAAAACAGAGAAAAAACTCGAGTGTCAACACAGCCAAAGATAGAAAAAGCGAAGTGGGACCTTGTTTTTTAACTTTTCTGAGTTACACATCACTGACGGTGTAAAGCGGAGCATTGCGAGTTCACGCCTCGCGCCATGGCGCCTTCAATTTTGCAGAAGCAACACGGACATCCATCAAGTACGAATAGTTGTATCTCTGCGCCGTCATCAACCCGCTGCCTTTCCCTTGCTCTATTCTACACCACGACGCTGCGTCTGTTAATGCAGGGATGATGGGATGTGAATGTATGTTCAATACCCCTTGGTTGCAGCTTATTTTTTAATGAAAATGCCTCAAACTACCTCATAACAACACCGTTTGGGGAGACAGAGGTAAACTGATCCCTAAGGTTTACGAGGCAACATGCATGTGCGTGACGTTGTTAATATTGATTTTATTATAAATCTATTGGCTTATCTTTCAGACATTGCAGCCCTTTATTTGCGAGATAACTTAAAATATACGGAGGGAACCGCAACACAGATCCTCCATGTGGTTTACTTTCTTCTTAGTGCTCTTCCAATTATTGGTGGAACCTTAGCAGATTCCAACATAGGAATGTACAAGTACGTATTTTTTCATTTAGTATTCATACTTCTTATACGGACGGGATTGCTTATATTTTACTAAAGTGCCTAAAATGAGTTTCACAAATTAGGTCCAAATTATCTATTACGAAAATCAAAAATGCCAATGTGATAAGAATTTATTTTATCCCGTGGTGTGTAGAAATAATGTATGTAGGTACCCTGATGTAAAATTGCTCCGGCAATTCTTTTATTAACTAATTACAAGCGACTACCTAACCAAGCAAGCAATGGAGCTGTACGTAAATAGCGAGGAACTTTACCATTGTGCGATTAAGTTGCCTCTCGTATGAAAAAAACTGACCAAATACGTATATATGTATTTCACATGAATTTTGTGCATTAGTCAGGTACGTGTAGTGAACGGGTTACATCATGTACACTATGAATTGCATATCGATTTAACATTATCTTCACGATGCAAATGGATTACTCACTGAAATGATTGGTTCTGTTTTAATTGGTACAGTGCAACTGATTGGGCCAACGCTTATTCCTGAGAAAAAAATATAAATAAATCAATTGCTTTTTAATTTTCTTACTTAAGCAGAAAAAGGAGAAGCAGCCTATGTTGGGATAACATCAGTAAAAACATTTTTAAAATTTTACTCGCCCAATCGCCTCAGCTGAAAGTAGGTGCTATTTTATTAATGTGCCCTCCTGATTTAACAATCTGGTATGTTTTCTTTGCAGAGCAATAATTGTTTCTACTTTGATACACCTAATAGGAAACACGATACTACCTTTTGCATCCACGCCATGGCTCATCACCCTCAGGTAAACAATCTCGTGTGATAATGCTTCACAAAAAACTTTACTAATAATATTACAGCTGTTTATATTGAAAAAAATCACCAAAAAGCTTAATTTAACCGAGCTGCATAGTTCAGCTCTGCTGAGTAAACATTATTACTAACTTGCAAGCCTAGCAAACAGTACGTAGAATCGTAATGTAAATGGGAGAGCTGGCGCCATGTTCTGCTCGACGAGTTCCGAGCCTAGTGTGCGCCGAGCCCCGGTCACTTTTTCGATACATGTCCGATCCAAAACAGCGGTTTGGAATAGGTTATAATTCCTATCTTCTTTGTTTACATCGGATGGCCGGGTACCCATGTATCGAAAACAATCGATTATGTATCGAAGAAGTGACCCGGCGTCACACAGGAGTCTCGGAATTCGGGACCTGGAAAATGCTTAAAAGTGACGCCAGCTCTCCCACTTACACTATGACTCCATGTTCTCTAAGAAGAATGGTCGCAGGGCACGGCAAATAAAAAGTACAACGACCCAACAACCAACCAATCACGTAACTCCGTCTCCGTCTTGTCTTGTCCAGAAACCAAACACGAAAAGTGCAACGACTACTCAGTACTCCGTAAAAGGGTTAGTAAGCACTAAAAGCACTTGTTTCATAAAAAAATTAAATTTCAGAAGCTGCCCCGGAAGATAATTTTGCGGCGAATCCAACATTCTATCCATTCGCTGTTTCAGCAATATTGCATGCGCTCCGCGACACCACGACCGTGGTATATTATATTATGCCATTATTCTGACGTCACAGCGCTATGATGGCGTGCGTTGATGGCGTTATTTTAGACATCGGCATTATCAAGATCTATCCAAAATGACTCTTGTGATGATCTTGCTAATGTTGCAGGTAGAGAGAGATTTTGCTGAGGTGAAACTTCCATCACGAGGTATTTTTATCCGTGGTCAGAATAACTCGGTCTAATCGCGTACCTGTGGTTATAGCTGCCTTTAAACTGCGGCAATGGTTGAAATTTATTTTTGTTTGCTCGTTGCTTCAGGGAATTTTCATTACTGGGAATGTTCCTAACTGCAATCGGGGCCGGACTTTTGAGGCCCATTTTAAGCACGTTTGGAGGAGAGCAATTCGTGCTACCGCAGCAAGCCAAACAGCTTGCCACCTACTTCTCCATTTTTTACTTCAGCTGCCAGGTGGGCCCTTTTTTTGCTGCCATTACGAGTCCCATTATCAGAAGGGACGTCAAGTGTTTTGGTCAGAAATCCTGCTACCCCTTGGCTTTTGGGATTCCTGCTATTGTAATGGCTATAGGCTTTGGTAAGAAATTCATCTCTCTTTTGATCAGGCTCAAGAATGGGGTAAGGGCGTGTGATAGATACATTGAACCTATCTTCTTCAAAGAGACGAAGAGAGAACACTCTGAGTGCCGTCTACACTTGTAACTTGTAATGCTGATTACAACTTAATGAGATCTGAAACAAGGTTCAATAGAATTGAACTTTGAGACTTCCATTGTAAAAATTAATTATTAAACTTTTTGCCAACTCCAAATCAGGGTACTGCGGCACTGATCGCATAGATAAGAATAAAATAAAATGTTGTCCAATAAACTAACTGACCACAATCTCCCCCATAATTTTGACATTAAATCGTCTCCTTCTTAACATTAGAAAGTAACCACACCTCTCGATGAATCCTGTTGGCCATACTACTCAATGCTTCAGGGCTCATCTAGTCATCTCTAAATATAGTTACGCCGTTTTGTCAGCAAAGCGATGGAATGAAGTAAAATTTTGACAAGCTCGTGCTTATAGGAAATGTGAGCAAATATGACAAAAGAGTCTAGGTATTTGCAGATGCCTCCTCAAATAGTATTAACATCATAAATTCAATCAAATAACGAATTAAAAGGAGGAAAACAAGAACACCTCTTTGAACTTTCATTAATGCGATAACATTCTTTTTAAACCAATACTCTCATAAGATTGACGTGATAAAAAAAACTGGATATTTTTGCATAGTTGCCAATGCACAAAATCATTCGAAGTTATCCAGATTCATCTCTCACAAGCGTATACATTCTACACATTCAAATCTGTAGGTGGAAAAAATGAGCTTTTGGGAACCGCAGGTCAAATTTCATTAGTATTAAAACTAGGCTATAGATCGTATGGCTCTTGAGTACGTTTATGTGTCATTTATTAATGCTGGAATGACCTCCTGTAGCCCCTATCCAATTTTGAGCATAAAACCTTGCAGCAGATGCTTTCGCCCCCGATTTATCGATACATCGAGTATACAAAATATTAATTCTTCTGTATTTATGTATACAGTCGTATTGTGTATGTCTAAATCATAACATTGCTTCCAGTTTTGCTTGTTTGCGGAAGGCGTCGTTACACAGTGCCACAGTCCGGAGAAAGCATCCTCCTTAACATGTTGAAATGTATTTTTGTGAGTCTATTTTCTCTTTTTGAAATTTATTAATGATAAAATACTTACAGAGAGTCCCAGGCCAACAATGGCAGGTTTTTTCGGTTATGTTTCCTATATAAAACCCATTTCACACGCCGAAAATAGGAGCTGAAAAAAGAGGTCAGCAACGCATCGATGAATGCTGCCTTGAGATCCCGCGAAATTTGCGCGGTCCGCGTAATTTTCAGCAACCCGCAATGAGTTTGGACTTAACAGCTATCAGCTTACATGAACTAGTTGTTCCAATAATTTAAGTGCAAAGTTAGGTCAACAAAGTTTAAATTGGGATTTTTTGGAAGATAAAGTAGCGGATGCACAATCTTGACAACATTGTAATACGCTTGGCTACTTTTTTGCGAAAAGCATGACTTTCACTCAGGAAGTATAGCACACCATTTTCTCTTTTAGCTTACGAATGATCAATTTTTTTTGATCTTATCAGCGAGTAGAATAATTATTTTGTCCAATTAGTCATGCATTTTAAAAATCGTCTGAGAGTTCGTTCGATTAATTTGATACAACTCATACCAATGTATGACTATGACATGTGACTTACACCTAGGACTAAAAATATCTTGACCTGTATTTTTCCATTGATTTTTTTTTATCGTTATTAGTACGCCCTAAGACGAAGGATATCATCAAATAAACCGCGGAAAAATGTATCTCATTGGCTCGAGTACGCAGGAGACAAATTTGACCCTGAGCTATTGACCAATGCCAAAGATGTTCTAAATGTGCTCGTCATGTACATACCGACGCCTATGTTCTTTGCTCTCCATGACCAAGTGGTAGGTGGTTTGACGTTTTGATGAGATCTATTTTAAAATGAGGGAATAAAATGTTTACCAGAACACGCATTTCAAAAGATGGAAATATTGACTGTTTATTTTTTTGGATGTATTTTCGGCAAGATGCCATCTTCAGCAAGAATATTTTTTTCACGAAACACAAAACAGAGAAAAGAAAATTTGTTTTTGTGAAAAAAAATTTCTCGCTGAAGATGGCATCTCGCCGAAATGCAGCCATGAAAATAAATAATCAATTTTTCCATCTTTTATTAATATGCGTGTTCAGGTAAACATTTTACTCCTTCATTTTATTTTATTAAGAACACGCGTGTAATGCGATTTTCCAGCTATCAGAAATATTGTTTCTTCAAAATAATAGAATTTTATCCTGGTACGTTTACTGTTTGATTGCAATCGAAGTTGATTTGATCATTTTTTCTCCTCCTTTTTTTGTGGAAATTTAAATTGATTAAAGCTAAGGATTTTACTTGCGGAATAGAGAGAGAGCTGCTTACTTCCAGAATGGATCGGAATGGATGGATTCCGAATCGAGATACAAGAATTACTGAAATCAACTCCTAACCAAGACGTTCAAAGTTTCTTGGCGCGTAAATTCAAACGTCCCGCTCATGAAGAAACAAAAGTCTTCGTGAGTCGATTTGCGCACTAAGCGTCACTGGTACAATCGTTGCAGTAGGAAAATATGAAAATCTCAATCTCAGTGCTTCGGCTCCGCTGCTGCACGTTTGTAACACTTGAAACAACTCAGGATCGGATGAGAGCAATGCGAGATTGAAAAAGTATGCCAAAACCTTCTTTGTATACGATTTGATTTAAGTAGACTATCGTTTTTCCTGTCAGCGGGGAAATCGAAATACCCTTAGCTCTTGTTAACTAAAACGTCAATACGGGTCATTCCACGTCAACTGTGCCAGGCTCGGAATCCGACCCCCTCCGATTTGGCTGAAAATTGGTATACGGGGTCTTTACATCATTATAAGAAACTAATTTGAAGGGTTTTCCCATCCGACGCCCCGTTCGCGAGATATCGACCCCCAAAGATGGGGTGAATTTTAGCGATATTCAAAAAAGCCCGTTTTAGCGATTCTCATTTTCTCGACTTCCCTCTCTTTGACT